GCCTTACTAGTAGTAACAAGTGCCTTACTAGTAGTAACAAGAAGCTATTAGGAACAAGTGCCTTACTAGTAGTAACAAGTGCCTTACTAGTAGTAACAAGTGCCTTACTAGTAGTAACAAGTGCCTTACTAGTAGTAACAAGCAGCTATTAGGAACAAGTGCCTTACTAGTAGTAACAAGAAGCTATTAGGAACAAGTGCCTTACTATGCTTTCATGAGAAATCATGGTGCTTGGAGACTTCATGACAAATCCCACTCGAGGCCCTTCAGCATCAGCAATGGAGATTCTTCCACGGTGTTGTTTGGATTCTTCTATCCGGACTTTTTTGGAAAAAGAGTGTATATGTGTATATTTGTTCTGTGTTTCTGTTTACGTTTATGTTTAAAGGACTTGACTTTTTGTGTGCTTTGTTATGTAGATATGGTTTTGTTGAATAGGTGGAAACAGAGCGAATGATTTGATGTTGATGCAAATGTTGGGACTTTAGCCACTAGTATGGGGTGAACACTACAACCGTTAAGCTAGCACAGCTTGCTGTCTTTCAGGGTGGTTTTCGGTGGGGTGCTTTTACAGTTCTTGCCATTCAGACCCTGTTTTGATAACATGTTAAAACCTAGACCCGACCATGCTCAAGCCCAATCCTGTACACACGTTCTTTCACGAGCCTTGATTTGAAGAAAATTAGTGCAGTATGACTAGGAGCAAGGACGCTACTAGGGGCTCCTGGCATCGCTACTAGGAACAAGAAGCTACTAGGGGCTCCTGGCCTTACTACTAGGAGCAAGGACACTACTAGGGCCTTGACTAGGGGCTCTGCATCATGTTGTCAAACCAATCATGCAAGTAGCACTAGCACGCTACTCGAGATACAAATGATTGCCCCATCGCCTCCGACTCGATGTGTGTTTCCGACCTGACGACGGTGAAAAATCCACTGACTCGTTTTGCCAAATAGTAGCGATGCCAGGAGCTACTAGTAGCTTCTTGTTACTAGTAGCGATGCCCTTGTTCCTAGTGGCGATGCCCGTTACTAGTAGCTTCTTTTGCCAAACAGGTCGACGACCATTTCACAGTCGCAGACCTGCCCAGGTGACTTGGAAGTGAACACGCCTCTTCCTCACAGCATGGGCCAATGGGGTAGCAGTCGTCGAACTGGTCTTTTGGTTATGTTCTTCTCTGTTTGCGTCGGAGAGTTGCTGCAATGTGCTGCAACTGCGGGCGTAGACTGAAATGCGAAAAAACAATCATGCGCTGCTGGAATGAGCCTAAATCGCAGCAAGACCCTGACCGTCCACATGTCCACGTAAGAAGTGCTTCATGCCAGGACATCTGCCTTCTGTCAAAGTATGCGCCAGCTTACACAACTGCAAGTTCTTCCAAGAAAATTGGTTGCCCTGGGCTGGGAGCATATATCTCCGGTTCAAGTCAGGAGGGAGTCAAAAGAGTGAACTGTTCACGTGTTCAATAATATAATAATGGAAGTCTTTCAAACATACTATATTAAAGCTACTAGAACTTGAACGCACATCAACTTCTTGACCAGGGTATGTTTGGTGCTGCACGAAAAGGGGCTGAAATGGAGTTGCAATGTGTTGACATGTGACAAGGGCAACAAGTTGCAACATATGTCCAGATTTGCGAACCAGTTAAGGGACTCTTGTGGTATATATGGCAAATTGTTGACAAAACAAATGGTCTTGCGATTGATCGCTCTTGGGCTGGAGGCCATCGCTAGTAGGTTGGAGGCCATCGTTTGAGTTCACTCGGTTTAAACACCTCAACAACTTTGCATAAATCGCTTGTAGTTGTCGGCTGTCAGCCACTGTTTGTCATCTACTTTTGAATGAAACCTCGCAAGGTTTGATTGTATACTGAATGTCAACAATGTCCAGGATTGTGCATGATTGCCACATGGTGCTGGTAGCAAACCTTACGTGGGGTGAAAAGTGGACATGTTGAAGAACCTGTAAAGGCAGTCCCCTCACACTGCACAGTTTGACACACGCTTGAAATGAAACAAACTGCGAAACATCAGAAATGAACAGAATGAACAAGCACGCTAGGGCCTCCTGGCTTGAGCAAGAAGCTACTAGGGGTTCCTGGCATCGCTACTTGGAGCAAGGAAACTACTAAGAACATCAACCCAGCTGAATACCTGTAAGACCTCAAGATTGGTTTCACTCGGCTCTTCCACGAACAAGTCGTTTTTTGAAACCGTCTATTTGACACTTCCGAAGATCTGTGCCTTGAGATGACGTCAAAATCCGTGCAATGCATATAAGCGTCTTTTCTTTCCCAACCAGTGTGGACACACTTAGGGGTTCTTACGGTAGTAGTTAAGCAGCTGTGCTTAGATCACTGTGCCGCACGGGCGTGTCGGGCTTATTCGCTGCTATTTGCAGTACATTCGGATCATGCCTCTCGAAATCATTGACGTGCATTTCGACTGCGCAATATCACAAAATCTGCGTGGGCGCGGCGGGTGTTTCTAGCGACTGCGCTCTCGTTGTGATGCCGCACGAAGTCGACTTTTTGACATGCAAGGGATTTCTGCGGCACGGCACTTTGTGAACCTCGATGCGCAGATTTCGTAGCAGGCGCAGCGCTTTGTGAACCTCGAAATGCAGATTTCGTGGCAGGCACAGCACTTTGTGCTCTCAGATGCTCACCTCTCGCTCTCACTCACACTCACACCCACACACGCTCACCCTGAAAAACCTACTACCTTACAGTAAGTAAGTAGATTACAAGCGTCCTAAACACAAAGCGAAAGCACGTGCAACAGCTCACAAGCAGCGCAAAAGCACTCGCACCACTTTTACGCGCACTCCTTGAGCTCTGGTTGCTCAAGTTCTGGGACTTGACCCAAAGTAAAGTAGAAAAGGCTATGAGGGACTCCTGCGTACAAGCTATTCCCATGCGAAACATTGAAAAATGTCGAGCTCAATAAAACGCATTCAAACATGCTCAAAATTGTTCCAACCACATTCACACAAAAGCTTCAAGGAACGCTTGCTCCAGCAGTCGGAATGCAAAACTACCTCACTACCTCACACACTTTCACACCCCCTTTCGAGGTGAGGCTCATTCACTCTGATCTAGTGGTGACTTGAGTAGATGCGGTGGCTTCAGTCCTCTCAGCTTTCCAGCACTCTTTGGTAAAATGATCTTTTCGCACGCCTTGCAGAGTTGAAGGCGACTAAGTCCCTTCTATCGGGTGTAATGGCATAGTGGGTTTTTTTTTCCACGAGTACGGACGCGGTGTGGGCATGGTGCCCAGGTCATCATTGAAGGAAGGGAAATACAATCACAACCCAACAACAAACCAAACAAAACCAACTACAGCCCACAGGCCGAGACTCCACCACCAAGTGGTATTTCCTCTGTACTATGGTGAAACAAGTGAGACGATGACTGCTGACGATCTATGGGCCTGAATTCACGAAAGAAGAGCATGGCAGCGAGGGTTTGTGCTCCAGCAAAATCTCAACGAAGTCGTCAAATGGACTTCAGATCACTATTACCAGTGACCAGCACAGAGTAGCAAAAAAAAACCAGGTCACAATGCAAATCCCGGGTTGGTATGCTCTAACGCGGGTCTGATCCTTGCCTAAGTGGATCAGTGGTTGCTACAGATCATGCCGTGGAAAAATGCCTTCTTGCAGCACAACCCTTGCAACTAGTTGCACAGACAAGTCAAGAGGCATAGTAGTTGGTAGTGTTCAGGCAGTGGCGGCCAGCAAACGACAAAAGCCTGCAGGTAAGGGTGCGAAAGGCTCGGAAGGTCATCACGGCACCCTTCGGCACACAGAGGTGCCAAACGGGGTGTCCTCTATCTTCGTGAAATGCTGGATCATTGCAAAATTGTTCTGTTACGTGCAAGGTCCGTGTGAAACAGGTGAAACAGGACCTATCCTTGCATGGTATCTGCACCTCTTTGTACAAAATTGGAAATGTCGGACATCCTCCATTGCCATCCTCTACCACCCGCCTGTTGGAAACGAGGAGCTAAGACTCTCATTCCTATTGGCTCACTGTATTGCGAATGGCGAAAGAGATTTGACGATCCTACTCAGTCTTTGCACTTTTTCACTTGCCGTGGCGAACTGGCGGTGTGCTTTTCCACGATTCCCGCTGCGAAAGCATTGTTGGTCTTTGATGCAGGTTCTGGGAAGTCATCTCTCCATGGATCACTGACACCGGCCGGCCAAACTCGGCGCTGTTTGGACTCGTGGAGTCACCCACATTGGTTAAGAGCATATGTCCTTCACCATGTTTTGCTTTCTCTTTGTTTGTATCTTCCTCGAAGGTGCGCACTACCTGCAAAAGCGCATGGCGCCATGTAAAGCAGGAGTGGAAACCTCCTGTAGAGAACACTTGAGGAAGGCTTCTTATGCCATGATCCTGAGTTTGGGACGGATCAATGCGGAAATTTTAAACCCAAACAGAGTCCAAAAAGACCTTCTACAA